CCTCTCAAATATTCAATATCAAAATAAAAAATGCTTAAAATAGCTTGCCAGCGTGCAAAATTCTGTTTTGATGCAATATTTTGAACATCCTTTTCTAAAACCTGTTTTGCACTCTTACAATCAACTCGTACTAAATTTTTTTGATTTAGTAAGTCATCTTGGAATTTTGAAATGCATAATACTATAGATAAAATTTCTTTTTTTATAGTACTATAATTACTCTGTTACTGAGTCCAAATTCCAGAATGTAATCGAACTATTTGCTCTATTTGATTTGGATTGACTCTCTGTTTGAGGATACCTCCATAACCATTTTCTGAGGCGTCAGTTTCAACTATTTTGAAGGAATTGACTGAAGGAATACTAAGACAGGGTAGTGTTTCATGGATTTTGATTTGTTTAACAATTTCTGTATGAGTAGAGGTCCAAGGAGGAGGTTTACTTTGGAGTCTGTCAAATAAGGGTTTGCATTGCTTTCGCAGATTCTGATAGAAATCAGAGACATAGTTAAGAGATCCTAGAAACCTTTGAAGTTGACTTTTATCAAGAATTTGATATGGGAATTTATTAGCAAATTGGATGACTCAATTAATTGGGCTAATTTGTGACTGATAGATATTAAACCCAAGAAATCTAATATTGGTTTGGAATAGCTTGATCTTTTTGGCCGAGATGACTAGGCCATTTTTCTTGACTATTTGAAGGAATTTATACAGGTGTTTCCAATGTTGTTCTACTGAATGGGAGAAAATAAGGAAATCGTCAATATAAACTATGGAGAAATCACTGAAAGGGTTGAATATTTCATTCATTATATTCTGGAATTCACTAGGCGCATTTTTTAGACCAAAATGCATGACATTCCATTCATAGTGACCGAATAGGGTGACAAAAGCGGTTTTATATTTATCTGACTCTTGGATCTGGATTTGCCAAAATCCACTCTTCATGTCAAATTTAGAGAAAATGATTGCTTTATTTAATCTGTTGATTAAATCTCTCTTATTAGGGATCGGATATCTAATCCATTCTAATACCGCATTAAGGGGTTTATAGTTAATGACTAATCTTGGGGCTCCTCTTTCTAATTCAGCATTTTTCTGAACATAAAAAGCTGGACAGGACCAAGGTGACTTGCTTTTACGGATTATTCCTTTTTGAAGTAATTCTGCAATTTCTTTTTTACAAAAATCCATAATTTCTTGACTCATTTGAATTGGTATGGCCTTAGTAGGAATATTCTTTTCATTAAAGGTTTTAACATAGGGGAGACTGACTACATGTTGTTTCCTATTTCAAAAGGCATTGGGGAGATCAGAACAAACTTCTTGTTTCAACTTTTCTTCAAATTTCTGAATCTGTGACTGTAGGGTTTTATTATTAAGCTGTTGTTCAATTCTTTTGAATTTGACTTCTTCTTTAAGAAAATCTAGTTGTTTACTTTTATTTTGGATTATCTTGACTGTTTTTGAGACTGCATTTTTTTGCAAAGCTTTTAAATTATGTAACTCAGGTTTAGTTAAAAATTCAAACTTGACTTCTTCTTCCATATGGGTAGATGTGACTCTATCATATTCTACTCGAAAAGGGTACAAGAGTGCTATGAAAGGTAGACCAAGGATGACCTCGTCTATAATATTTTTAACTAAAACAAAAGATGTTTTAAAGCAGATCTTATTTTGATAGACATGGGCTTTTGGAATTTCGTAATCTAACTGAAGTGGTTTACCAGAGGCAGTGCCTAACGTTTCTTTTGACTTTTTGTAATATTTAGTGGGGATTAAACCTTCTTGTATACAATTAAGGTCTGCTCATGAATCAAAAAGAGCTACTGTATTTAACTCAAAATCTTTTATAAAAATAGTGACTTTAGAGTACCATTTTCTAAAATTTATTTGTTTTATTAGATTAATAGCTTTATCACTGCTTGAAGGTTCATCATCTGAATTTGCTTGACTTTCAGATTGACTTTTAGGATCAGAATTTATTCTTTCCATTAAATTAATTAAATCTTGTTTAATTTCAAAATTTTCATTCTGTAATTTGTGACTTATCTGTTTCAACTCTATTATTTCCTTTTTGACTGTTTTCACTTCTATTTGCAAATCTTGTAAAGTAACTTCTTTCTTTTTATTAAATCTTTCTAAAGTTGTGTTTAAACTTATTTTGGGGGGATTACTTTGACTTGCTCCTTCTTGTCCTATAACTTTTCGTAATTTTCTTAGATATTCAGATTTTAACTATGGATTGTCAACCTTACTAATTAGATCTATTAATAACTCTTCTTGTTCTTCCTGCTTCGTGAGCACACTTATTGACTTGGTTAAGATATTACAACATTTGTCATTACATCCAAACTGAATTTGTGGAGAGCTTGACTGAGAGTTTGAGGAGCTATAATCTTCCAAACTCGTTACTAAAATTTCATTTTCACTACACCAGAACTTTTTAATTCTAAAACTTTGATCAACTAGGCTTTGTCTTCTTCTAAAATCTTTAACTGCTTTATTGTGTCTTTTACTTTGCACTCATTAGCATGGTGACCAAATTTTTTACATTTACAGCACTAACTTTTCTTTTGTGTGTTTTTTTTCTTAAAGTTACTTTTCTTGTCTTTTCTAGGTGCTTTTGACCAATTTTTTCTAGGGTTAAATTTTCTCTTACTATAAAATTCATCATTATGTCTAAAGGATTGTTTCCTACATGAATAATGTCTATTTTTACTAATTTGTCGGTCATAATTCCTGGTCTTGACTTTTCTAGAGGGAGGAATAGGCACTAAACCGTATTGTTCACAGAAATCTCCTAATTCGTATTTGGCTGACTTTTTGTCTAACTATATTTGTTTTCCTTTTTTTAAATCTACGCACATTTTCATGCCTACTTGATTGATTTGTACTAATTATATTACCATAAGTTAGATTATTAAAATATATGTGACCTTGGTAGTTGCTTAAAACTGTTCGAATTTTATGAGCAAAGAAATTGGGAAGACCATTAATAAATTTTTCTTTCCAGAATGACTGATTACTATAATCTCTTAGCATAACTCTAGAAATAAAGACATCTTTATACCATCTAAAATCGCTTAGTTTGGGACATCTAAGGTTACTGAGTTGGTCGTGAATTCTTGTTGTGTTATTACTTGGTGTTCCTATAAAGTGTTCAATTATGGTATACAATAAGGTATTGACTTCGTCTTCTATTCCCATACCTAATCGTTCATAAAAAATACGGAGACCTTCTTCATTTAGTTTTGTTTATACTCGAAATGAACAGCCAATGAGAACAAGACACGTGGAAGAAATCGTGCCTGGTCAGAGACGCCTTCGGCATCCTACCTATCGATCTCTCCGTTAGGGCAACGCCCTCTCCCGGGACACATGGCATGCTCCCCAGCGACGTCCACAGTCCCACATCGAAATTATCAACAAAGTGCACACCGCCCAATGCCTATAAAAGAGGCCAACCACTCCAAAATAGAGGTAATCAAAACTTACGGCATACAAGCCTATTGATCTGTCAGTTAAACTTTCTATTCCCGAACTTACTTAAGTATCGGAGAGCCTTCGGCCGGTACCACACCGGTGCCTTGGGTCTTATCGAGCGTTTGCTCATATTGCAGGTCACGCTCCCTACCGAAGCATTGAGGATACCGAAGGTATAAAATTACTAAGTTGACCTTCTAAGTCAGAGAACCACTTTTTGGCGTCAACAGTTTGGCGCCGTTTGTGGGAAGCAATAGAATCGACCCTTTATCCAAAACATATGGGGACCAACTCGAAAACTACGTTCCTACCACAGGAGGGGATGCCGTACGGTATGCCAAGCAGAGCAAGCCCAGCACCCCCATACACCCCGGCAACTAATCCACCTGTACTCCAACCCGCTGAAAATGCGGAGCTTTTAGCCCAAGTGGTGTCCCTTCGGCAGGACATGGCTAGGTTACAAGAACACAACAATTTCCTCTCGTCCAGGGTGGACGAAACACAACAGCGGCTGAAATAGCAGCAAACGCAAAACATTTAGACCGATCGAACGTCCGAGAGCCTACAGACTCCCCGTCGGCAGAGGAAGGGCAAGAAGGCGGCAAAGGCAACGCCTGCGCCATCTAAACATTTGGTAGTCCCGGCACCAAAGAATAACCCTCATTCGCCTTCTCCTTCAGAGGGTACAGAAAATGGAGGACGATCGGACTCGCTCGCAAGAGCCAGATTGGGGAAGGCTTCGGCTAGGACCCTTCATCGAGCGCATAAGGCACTCACGGCAGGATAGGGACGTATAGCCCCTACGCATAACCCCTTACACAGGAGTGGAGGACCCCCTGACGCACCTCCACTCTTTCCAATCAGCTGTAGGGTGCCGAGGGCTAAGTGACGAAGGACTGTGCCTATTGTTCCCCTCTTCGCTCACAGAGGCGGCTCTGAATTGGTTCTACCGTTTGGAACCAGGAACGGTCGATTTCTTCGACGAGCTGAAGCAGATCTTCCTGAACCACTTCATGATTCAGACAGACAGACTGTACTCTGCCGATGACCTATATACCATCCGGCAGAGGGATGACGAACCATTGCGCGAGTATGCCGCACGATTCAGCCATGAATACTCGAGATGTCCGGATACCGATGACAGGGCAGCCTACAGCGCCTTCAAGAGTGGCCTACAGTCCTCACACTTTCGGTATCTGGTACACAGCAGCAATTGGCGTATATACGACGAACTCATGAAGCAAGCGGCAATCCACGCCAAAGCCGAATACTTCAACTCGAGGGCCGAGCCCACGGCTCGGCAGCTCGGCAGAGCGAACCCATACAGCGGTCCTCCACGGCACAGGCTTCGTCGTTCGCGCCAGCGGCACAAGCTGCCGGATACCCTGAGAGCCACAAGCGCAAAGATACCGGAAGCTCCCAAAAGGGGCATTCCAAGAAAAACAAGAGTAGGTACGTTGGCATTCCAAAAGGGACAGCTACCGAGCATCGTTACCAGCGCATAACCAAGGAATGGAGGTGTTCACCCTGCTCAACACCTCCTACGAGGCAGTGCTGATGAATGAAAATGAGATAATCCCGAAGCCAGCGTTCCGAAAGCCTAATCGGCAAGACGGCAGGGATACAGGGAAATTCTGTCGATACCATCAGCAGAACAGCCACAATACCGAGGATTGCATAAGCTTGTTAAAGATCGTCGAGCGGTTAATTCGGGAAGGCAAACTGGATCAGTACATAGCCAGGCCGCAGCAGGCGCCAGTACCGAACGCCAATCGGCAAATCAACATGATCAGCACGATCAGCGGAGGCCCAACTCTCGCCGGGGCATCTAACTGGTCAATGAAGCAGTATGTCAGGGTGGCACAGTACCCCCAAGTCCTCGGCATTGAAAGTAGCCGGCACACCAAGATGCCGAAGGTTAGGTGGGAACCCATCACCTTCTCTGAGGAAGAAGTGGAAGGGATCATCTACCCACATGACGACCCTATGATCATCCGAGCCGAGATCGCCGAATTCGATGTCGGACGAATCGACACTGGAAGTTCGGTAAACGTCATTTTTGCCGATGTGTTTAAAGAACTCGGAGTAGATAGCAGCCAGGTCAACCGACAACTTTCGCCTCTCCTCAACTTTTTCGGAGACTTGGTCCAACTAATCGGCAGTGTCAGCTTGCCAATCGCATTCGGCATAGCCCCACGAAAGACCATGGTTTACGACCAGTTCCTTGTGCTGGATTGTCCGACGGCATACAACGTTATTGTCGGCCGAACGGCACTCACGGCAATAAAGGCCCACTTGTCCCCCCACATGCTGCTCATGAAGTTCCCAACCTGCTACGGCACGGGGGCAATCATGGGCGACCAGTTGAGCGCCCGGAACTGCTACGCCACGGCGCTGAAGTCGACAGCTCCTTAAAAGCAGAAAGAGACCTTCACGGTAGTGGACTTGCCGAACGGCAATGACCCAGTAGATGACCCGAGGGAGGAAACGCCTATTCCGGTGGCACAACCTACCGAGGATCTCGAAACCGTGGCGCTGGATGAGAGTCAACCGGACCGGTGCGTACGAATCGGCACCATGCTAAACGCCACCCTCCGCGCCGAATTCATCCAGTTCCTTCGGCAAAACTCGGAAGTCTTTCCTGGTCTTACAACGACATGCCGGACATATCCCCTGATGTCATCAGCCACAAGCTGAGCATCTCACCAGCATTCAAGCCTGTCAGGCAAAAGCGTCGATCCTACGATACCGAACGATATGAGGCTATGAAGAACGAAGTAGACAAACTCATGACCATAGGCTTCATCCGGGAGGCTATATACCCGGACTGGCTGGCAAACTCAGTCATGGTCCGGAAGGCAAAAGGTGGATGGCGAATGTGCCAAGACTACACCGATCTGAACAAAGCCTGTCCGAAGGACAGCTTCCCGTTGCCACGCATCGATCAGCTGGTTGACGCCACTGCCGGTCACGAATTGCTCAGCTTCATGGACGCGTACTCCGGATACAACCTGATCTTCATGCACCCTACAGACAACGAACACACAGCGTTCATAACAGACAAAGGCTTATACTGTTATAACATCATGCCGTTCGGCCTAAAGAATGCAAGGGCAACTTACCAGAGACTGGTCAACCGAATCTTTGCCGAGCAAATCGGCAACACAATGGAGGTTTATGTGGATAACATGCTAGTAAAGAGCCGAACGGCAGGTGAACATCTGGCAAACCTATCCCTAATGTTCGGCATCTTGAAGGATTACCGAATGAGACTCAACCCGACGAAGTGCGCCTTCGGCGTATCTTCGGGAAGATTCCTCGGTTTTATGATCAGCCAAAGGGGAAGATTCCTCAGTTTTATGGCCATAATCGACATGGAGGTGCCGAAGACACAGAAGGACATCCAGAGCCTTACCGGACGAGTGGCAGCCCTCACTCGCTTCATCTCCAAAGCCACAGACAAGTGTGCACCGTTCTTCAAAGCCTTGAAAGGGGGCAAACACCATATAGAGTGGACTGCCGAATGCGATAAGGCGTTTCAAGACTTAAAGGACTACATGGGCAGAGCTCCGCTACTGTCAAAAACCCCTCCCGGGGGAAATTCTCTCCCTATATCTATCTGTATCCAACACTGCCGTCAGTTCAGTACTGATACGAATACCTGAGAAGGTAGAGCTACCGATTTTCTAAGTCAGCAAAGCCCTTCAGGGGGCAGAGTCTCGGTACCCCCCACTCGAGCAGCTGGCTTTAACTCTGGTCGTTTCTGCCCGGCGGTTGCGACCATATTTTCAGGCCCATACTATCATCGTCCTAACCAACCAGCCTCTTCGGCAGGTTTTTCAAAAGTCAGAAACATCCGGTAGGCTGGTACAATGGGCGATCGAGTTAGGAGAATTCGATGTACAGTTCAAACCCAGACCTACCGAAAAAGGACAAGCCATGGCAGACTTCATCGCTGAACTAACACCTTCGGAGGCACCGGAACCTGGGAAAACCCCTCCACTGGAATGCCTACCGAATGGTAGCCGGTTAGACCAATCAATTCCTATCTGGATCCTACACGTGGACGGCTTGGCAAACCAACAAGGGTGCGGAGCTGGCTTGGTACTCACCGCCCCCGATAGAACCAAGATGGAGTATGCCATCAGATTTGGTTTCCGAACATCCAATAACGATGCAGAATACGAAGTCCTCTTAGCTGGCCTTCGGCTAGCAAAGAGCATGGGGGCTAAGCAGGTCAGCATACACAGCGATTCGCAACTCATCGTCAACCAGGTCACTGCCGATTTCGCCGCAAAAGACGCATCTATGATAGCCTACTTGTCATCGGCACATCTACTACTCCAGCAGTTCCAGGCCTACGAAATTCGGCAGGTTCCAAGGTCAGAGAACAGCCATGCCGATGCATTAGCCAGACTGGTGATCGGTTCATAATTGTATATCATTTTGTACCCTTCTAGCTTATGATTTGGTTATGTTTTTGAGTTAAACTTGTGCTTTTAATCCTTTTTGTGTTTATCTTTCAGTTCATTGAGCTTTAGGTAATAATGAGGGCTTTGGATAGTAAATGATGCAATCCATGCATGTTAGGGCCTAATTTGGATGAATGGATGAAGAGCTTAAAGACAAACTCAATTTTGGCTACAGTCCCCTGCCAGCCCAGTTTCGTAGGTCATATTGCAAGCTTTGTTTCAGCAACCTACATAGCTCGGATGAGGCCACATTCTTCATGAAAGTTGTTTCAATGTGTGTGTACTATAACATATCCAAAATTCAGCCCCACTGGATAAATCTGGAGTCCGTTACCTAGCAAAATCAGAACCATGCTCAGGATGGATCTTATCAGCGCGGAAAATGAGTTAGCAATTTGTTTCGGCCTTAACTTCCTCCTCCGAGCTTGGATTGGGCCAATACTTGTGTGGTTGGATCATACACATTCTGAACTTCACAATGGACATCTTAAAGTCTTCATTTGATTCAGCCTAGCCCAAGTTGTAAGCCCTTGAAGTTGCTGGTCATGCTGACCTCAACATGTGCTGGTTGGATGCTTGGTCATGGTGAGCTAGGTATGAGCTATCATTTCTGGTTGGAAGCTTGGTCATGGTGACATGAAGATGAGCTAGGGCTGCTGGTGGAATTTATTAGTGAAGTGCATCAACCATTTCAGATTTTATAAAACAAGTGTTGTATGCATTAGCCATATTGAATTCAGATTTATCACTCCCCTCTCCCTATAAATACCACATCCATTCCACATTCAAGACACAACAAATCCTG